GCCCAAATACTGGTTGCAAATCTGTCGAGCCAATTCCGGATTCTTCACCTTGTCGAACTCCAGCGAAATATTGTCGATGGTGTAGTGACCCTCCTCGCCGCTCTCCATCACGATCAGGTGAGTGTAATCATTAAACGCGAGTTCGTACTCCAGCTTGTCGCCCAGCACGGTTTGGTAAAACGGCATGTGACCATCGAGCAAATTGAAGTCGAGTGAGATGCAAAATCGGTTCCCGATCGCCTCTGCAATGGCCACATGTTTTTTCGCCATTGCGGTGAGTTCAGCTTGGTTGAAACCGTACCTCACACACAACCGAGTCGATGGACACTCCGCCGGACAAATCCCCTGGTACTTGTTTTCCCGTTTGCTCGCGGTTCTCCAGAGGTCCGTTTAGCTGAAGAACACGTCACTGTCGTCGATTATCAAAATTTCGTTTCCGCTGATTTTGATGGTCGTTTTTTTCTTGATGGCACGAGTCGGGTTCCCCTCGACTTCTCGCTTATTATCGTCGTATTCCAAACTGATCTGGAAGGACAGGCGAGCCGTCCCCGGAACGATGACGTCGTTCTCGCCGTGGTTGGGAAAGCGCACCAACAGTGTTTGTTTTTCGTGCTCGGATTGTTGGTGATCATCACTGATTGACACACAGCTTTGACCGCCAAGGGTTTTCTCAATTTTCATTAAGGATCGAGTTTTGTCCGTATTGCGACGCCATTTTTTTAATTAATAATATAAAATCTATGTTCAATAAATAAAAAATCATGGCTGACGATATTCCCATGGACGATTTGGGGGATGATAGAACCCCTTTGCTTGACGATGAGGAGACCTCATTCGCACAAGGACACAAGGGGCGATGACCTGCTAAAAACGACCGTCGATGATTATTATGATGCCCTGGAGCAAGAAATTAATATAGCTCCTCTTTATCGTGATCCTTCCGAGTTCGAATTCGATCATAAAGGGATACCGTTAATGAAAGATGCTCTGGGCCCATCGATCTCATGCACTCCCATACGAGAAAACCTCTCGCTTTGTCCACACTGGCCAGTTGCTGTCTTTATCCGCGACAAATTAAATATAACCAACTATCGACAAAAAATAAGCGGGAAGTTCGACAAGGCTTTACGAGAAGCTAATGCCGAGCTCGATGACTTGGCGGGTACAGTCGGTCGAGATGATTTGAGAGACGTACAACAAAGCGCTCAAGACACATCCAACACCGTCGAAAAACTATTGACCACGTAGCGGAACGAACACTTGCCCGGGATTGAATTTACCTTTCGGGAACTGCGAGGGCTGGACAAGGCCATGCAAACCATTTGTGGATCGCTTGTGGACAACGTAACCAAAATGGACGCGCTCGATGAGCATGTCGTTCGTGAAAAAAACAAACTCGACGAAGCGGGGGACGAGTTCACCCGACGTCTTATCGCGGAAAGATTGCACAACTTGGAAGAGAAAAGATCAACCCGATTGGAAGTGGCGTCCTCCTTCTGAGACAGCTTTGATCCGAGATCAGAGGCGTGCGTGAAAACATCGACCGTGTGTTGAACGAGGGCACCACGCTAGCCGACAGGATCCGAAATCTGTTCTGGGAAAAAGGGATCACCATCACCAGCGTTCTGACGGCTTTGGGCTTAATCGTATCGACCTTCGTCTTAGTGCTGATGGGCGGTACGACACCGACACCACCACCCAAGAAAGGTGGCGACGTCAGAGACTGGATAAAAAACAGTTGAAATCGCTCGGGGAAGCCCTGGCGAGACTGGCCGGCAAAGCAGCTGAAGCCCTGCCAGGCATCTTGGGCAGCATTATGTCCTGGTTGCTGGGCTTGTTGTCTAAACTAGGAACAGCTTCCACCACAAGCCTCGAGGAAATTTTACTCAACCAGACTTATGCACCCGATCACGTTTGCCTCATCACCTTAAAGTATATTCATCAACGATTGACGGAGGACCAATTAAATATTATTTCGTAAACTATATATATATATAGTGCAAAATGGAATTGTATCCGGCCATGGACGAAGTGCCTCAAACGCTCGAAAGCGTGGATGGATTTCATTTGTGACAGATCAGCGAGATCAAACGTCAACTGGAACAAGAACGTGACGTGCAACTCGGATTGCACAAAAAGTACCATCGGGCCATCAATGCCGTCGACGGCGTGGACATGGCCCTCGTGGTCACCGGCATGGGACTCGGGGGTGCCAGCATCGGCTTGTTGTCGACCATCGTGGCTGCACCCGTCGACCTCGGGTTGGAAATAGCCGCCGGGATATCGGGGCTGGCGGGAATAGCCCTTAAATTCATTCCACGTCGGTTGCAATGGAAGGCCTTAAAACACGACGAAATCCAAGTGCTGGCCGAAGCAAAGCTGAATACGATCGAGGATCGCGTCTCGTCTGCGGTCACGGACAGTAAAATCTCCAAAGAAGAGTTTCGCCTGATTTTAGCCAAAATCGCAAGTACTACCGCATGAAAGAAGAGATTCGAACCAATACTCGGAAAATCGTCGACTTCAGCGAAGCCGAGAAAAAAAAGCTCACGGAACAAGGCCGACAACTGGTCATTCAATCCTTCCTAACCACGAACGTCAAAGATTCACGTTCAACTGCTTCGTACATGTCATCATGACATAGTCAGGTGACAGCCAGACCCAACACAGATTTCCCAGGTCAGTCCTCCCACGTGACCTAGACCGCCTCCGTGGTGTAGTGGTTAGAGCATCCGCCCGGAGAGCGGAAGGTCGTGGGTTTGATCCCCGACTGCGTCATACCAAAAGACGTTAAAATATGGTACTTGTTGGTCCCTGCCTGGCGCTCGGCATCTGATGCAAAGACCCCACTCTACTACTACTATAACAGATGTGTACAGACACAAAACAAACAGGCTTGCATTTAGCGGTTGTCCCGTGGAGGCTGCTTGTCCAATATTCGAGCTCACTAGCATATGACAAATCACAACGACGAAGCGTCAAATTGAACAAAACAACCTTATAGTTAGTGTGGCTGCCTTGAGTGTTGAGGTGCTCCCTAACACAAGGTTAAACGGTCAGGATCCGACGCCATTCTTCCTGTAGGGCCAATGCCAACGACGGCTGGTGACCTTGTCGCACTTGGCGTTTAACCATCAGGTTTCTTCATTTGAGTCGATTCTTTGAACAAGATACGTTTCGCTAACATCACGGCCTGTCAGTGTGATTGTCGGAAAAGTCTGAAGCGATACGACCGCCTCCATGGCGTAGTGGTTAGGGCGTCCGCCCGGAGAGCGGAAGGTCGCGGGTTCGATCCACGTTCGCGTCATACCAAAAGACGTTCAAATATGGTACTTGTTGGTCCCTGCCTGGCGCTCAGCATTAATGGGTACAACAAGGACTGGTCGGCTCGGAGTCAATATAATGTGTCTGAGTAGGGTATCCATGCTTCACTGCGGGATGGTACCTCAGTGAGCTAGCACTATAAAACCAGCTTCAGTCTGGGCTAGTACAAGCAACCCCACATACACATACACACGCATGCACGTCGTCATATGAGCGAAATATTCTCCAGCGCGACGTTAAACCCAATTTCACCTCACTCACCTGAAGTGATACAGGTGTTAGTGTCAAGCGAGATGAAATCCACGAGGACTGATTCTCTCCTTCGTCTGTGGGTCACCACAAACAAATGCACTGAGCAAAACCGAAAACTTGACACTTGGAACTTTTTGGAATAGGTTTTTAAAGTTAGGTTTAATACAATAATTTTAGTTGTGTGCTGTGCACAGAACACCTTCACATGAAAATAGTTTGTCGTGAGCAATTCAAGCTTTTGCAACAGCGACCACAGTCTTACCAGCATCTCACCTCCCCATAGCACGTTGACGTTCTTGGTTTGAAAGGCGTGGCATTTCCAAACAAAGATTCAGTTTAAGCAAACAGACCGCCTCCGTTGTGTAGTGGTTAGAGCGTCCGCCCGGAGAGCGGAAGGTCGCGGGTTCGATCCACGTTCGCGTAATACCAAAAGACGTTCAAATATGGTACTTGTTTGTCCCTGCCTGGCGCTCGGCATTAATGGGTACAACAAGGACTGGTCGGCTCGGAGTCAGTATAATGTGTTTGAGTGGGGTATTCATGCTTCACTGCGGCATGGCATTTCAGTGAGCTAGCACTATAAAACCAGCTTCAGTCTTGGCTAGTACAAGCAGCCGCACATACACATACACACGCATGCACGTCGTCATATGAGCGAAATATTCTCAAGCACGACGTTAAACCCCATATCACCTCACCTTTAAGCAAACATGCACTGAATGACCTCATGAATTAGCTTTTCATATATAAATTTTATGTTTTTGTTTTTTAAAGGTCACAAAGTCAAGGTTTGCACGTGAACTTACTACTGTCTAATATACTTGTAAATATATTTGATTAAACAGGAACAGAATAATGTCGAAATATTTTTGGGTCAAGTTTTACATTTTGCTGAGTATCTTGTCAATCTTGCAATTTGCCATTTTCGGATGAAGGTACATAATGTGAGGTAAATATTACATTGTATACATCCTGATTACAGCCAGGAAAAACAGGCTTCCGTTTGGGATTCGTCACATGGGGATTGACTGTCCCATATTCGAGTACACTAGCACATGAAACATCAAAACACCGAAGCGTCAATGAATGAATGCATAATATTTGCCGTTGTATTTGCGCCTGAGATTTGGTTAAGTTTCAGATAACGTATCGAACCCATATACATTTACCATCAGATTATAGGATTTCTTTTCATTGAGTCGATATTTTGAAATATAAATATTTCAATAAAACCACGTTCTGTCAGTTTGGGACACAAAGTCTAAAGTAATGCATGTTTTTCACGCGTTGCTGAAATCCACGGGGACCGATTCGTTCCTTCGAACGTGTATCATTGAAGACAAATATTTCAATCTTGCAATATCGCTTATATACTGTATTATTTGATACAGAATGTAATGTAATAAACATTATGGTGCATACAGGAGGATTTGAATTTCGTCGGAATGGTATCCAGATCTACATAGCTGACACTGCCGCCTCCCCAACTGATGGAGTCAACTGCTACAACGTGACAGGGAACAGAGACGGGACAGACATACCTGATGTTTTGAACGTCACGTGTTCTGATGAAGGGCGCTACCTGGTCCTGTACACCACCACTGTTAACAACGATACTGTGGACGTACCAGTCATGGACTTCTGTGAGGTGGACGTTAACGGTACGGAGACATGTTTCATGTTTCTGTTCAAAATTGATAAATACTTACAGCAAATGATATGAGCTTAAACGTAATTTAAGACGTAGATCCTCCAGTACAATTATATTTCCTGGAGCACATTATATTGATATAATGGTTTCTGATAATGGTTATTAAGATGATACTTGTTTTATTTAGTTGTCGTAATTCTGAAAAAAAATAATGACAATAAATGAAATATTTTCTTGTGATTTAACACTTGTCACCAATGTCGATGCCGTTTATGTTATGTTGTCTTGCCATTTAAGTGTGTGGTCCTGGTACTTTCGGCGCTGACTGTGACAACTACTGCCACTGTGACGGTGATGTGTGCAACTACGTGACCGGCGTCTGTCCAAGTCGAGTCTGTCTACCAGGCTGGCAAACACAAACATGTGATACAGGTGAGAGGTTGATAAAGCATAGATAGGTAGCTTCAGTCCAGATATTCAGACCTTCCTTTCAATACGAGTGGAAATGTCTGCGTTCAAGTCAATAGGGACACAACAATGGCTTTGAGCATTCATATGAAGTGAAGATTTTGTCCATCTGGATGCCACTGGCTCATAGGGCAGATATACATGTTAGAATGGTCAATCAATACTTTAGTATTTGCTATTTTTTGTCTCATTTCATAAGAGTTACATAGGTATTTATGCATGCTTAGTTTACATCGTTCATTTGGTAACATTCGTAACATGTGGTTGCTCTCTAATTAGTAAGTGCTAAAGTAGATGCCTTCTCAATCACATTTATAGTGAAATCATGCCCACAAGATACACGATGGTTATTGTGACATGACCTTGGAATGGAGTGGTTCTTGACAATAATATCGTGTTAGTACAAGCTTCATCACATCAGAGTGTATACAATATAACGATATAAACTCTATCCATCTTAATGCTCTTACATTTCCGTTGATTCCCCTGAATTCATGCAAGTGGTTGAGCACATGGACATATATAATGGCATTCATGTTTGATGTTTCAGCCTGTGGTCCTGGTACTTTCGGCGCTAACTGTAGCAACTCCTGCCACTGTGACGGGGAGACGTGTGACCACCTGACTGGCGTCTGTCCAAGTGGAGTGTGTCTACCTGGTTGGCAGACAGAAACGTGCGACACAGGCAGGTTGTTGATAAAGCAAATGCATATTCCTCACAGTCTTGTCTTTATTTCAATATCCCGACCAGAATACTGTGGATGGCAACTATTTAAGATTTGTAATCCAATATAACATATGTTATATTTGGGATTTCACTTTCTGAGTAAAGCACAGATTCCAGAACTTTTGGGGTTGAGTCAAATCCGGATTCAAACCCACATCCACAGAGTCAGGCACCTAATCCAATACGTCATATGACAAAATTAGATATGTGCTTTAAGGGGAGAATACTAACGGCAAATAATTATTTAATAGAAGTAAACACATTCTATAAGTCACCTTCCATAATGAAAATTGAACAAAAAGGTTGTATAAACGCAATAAACACTCGCTTTTCCGCTTATTACGGAAACACACGTTAGTTAATGAGCGGAAGCAGTTATCATGACGTCATATGAGCCTATTGCCGATGCCTTCCTCTTTGATTTTACCAGACAATTTCACAAGGACCATGGTTTCGGAAGCAGTAAAAGATGTCATTTTTCACATGGGTGTTGGACCGTATCAGTGACGATGAAGAAGAAGAATCAGTCGAAACTAGGACACGTTCAACTTGTTTGTTACACGTCCTCGACTTTTTTCTCTTATAAAGCCCGCACGTTGCGAAACGAGGGATCGTGTGACGTCATTAGGAAGCCTATTGACACTTCTCCCTCCCAAATCTCTCTTTTAACTTTGGGCACCCGTGAAGAGCCACCTCCTCGTGGTGGGTGCTAGGTAACGTTAAGCGCTCTTCAACACCCCGTTGTGGACCCGGGGGTATATTTGGTCCACCAACTCGTTTGCCGTGGGTTGCGCCCCTGTGTCGGTGGAAGAAGGGATTCTGATGGTTGAGGGCACTGGTTCCAGGAACAGTGTTCCTTTGTCCAACACACCACTTCGGCCCTGACTTCACCTAGACGGGTGGTTGAATGGCCCCGGTACACCCAATCGGCTGGTCATGCCGAGCCCTGAGCACTCTATTTTCATTGCTCTATCACTTTTTGGCTAGTTTTTTTTATACATATTGTTAAACTTATTGTGCTTGTAAGTGTATTATTATACACTGCTTTTTGAAACGTCTGAAAAGTAGACATTTGCCTAGATGCTGGTGCCAGAAGGCGATGGCTCATGGGCCAATCTGGTGGAAAAATTAATCTTTTAGCTTTTCTGCTTGAGTATATCATCCGAGTATCCTTGGTGCTGCAAGTTGGAGACCCACTTGTTTTTAGCATTGTCCTTGTGATACTCCGTGGTTGGTGGGGAGCTCGGATGATGAACCATTAAAAACTAACCAAGGCATACGAAAAACCCCTTAAAAAACAAAACGTCCACTCGAAACTGATCCTGTTGATACTGACCACAGACCGTCCCTATCGATTGAGTATTGGCCACGTGCAGGTTTCCTTGTGATTGAGACTTTTGACAAGACACCGTTAAAGTTGAACCCTTTCGCAGTATCTAAGGGTATTCAAGGTATTGCTGGGGATGTCAAGAACATTAAACGCTTACGTTTGGGTGCGCTGCTAGTTGAGTGCTGAAAAAGCAACAGTGAACTGTGGTCCGGTCAGCTCACAAAAGACACACAAAACAGAAGATTGTAACAGCGATTTTGAAAGATCAAGGAGTGCACCAACGGTTTGCTCAGGCGACTATCGTTTTCTTTTCGTTTTTCAAATCAAAGAGTGTCCTAACCCGCTCAGGAAATTGGAAAGAGCAAATGGCGATGAAACAAAATCAGAAATTTAACCACTTTTAAAAAAATATCACTTTTTCCGATTTGGAAGAGCAAGCAAATGGGCAAAAATGACTGGCCAAAAAGAGATCCGACCTTCCAGAAAGTTATGCTGCAGTAGCCAAAACACCATCTGAGTCCAGCTCTAAAATGACAAAATCATCCACTAGCTGCAAACAACCTTGACTTGGGTCAATTGCGACTCTCCACAGCTTTTGTACCCTGCGATATCATCTCAAACTGAGGAATCACTTCCTGATACGTCAAAGTCTTCTTCTGATCATAAATCATCTTCTCAATCACGCTCAGAGTCTCAATCGTCATCTGATAGTCAACTAATTGTCAACAGTAAAATTAAACCTAAGCCTGATGTTTCCAAAAAACAAAGTTGCAGAGCCCCCAAAAGGTCGCAAAATAGAATTCAGTTGTTCAACAAATATGAATCTCTTGAGGACATGGGCATATCTGAAAACGTCCATTCTAGGGCACATAGCTTGTCGCACACCAAACAAGTGAGGGATAGATCCCCAATAAATCCCCCCAAAAGATAGTTTATGCCAATAGTGTTGTGCAGTGGAACTGCAGAGAACTGAGGACTAATTTAAGCGATTTACATATATTAGTCCAAGATTTTATACCATCAGCGATCTGTCTATAGGAGACATATTTAAAAAAGACAGATACTATTGACCTTCATCATTTTAATGCATATCATTGTTTTTCACTCTCGGGTGATAAGGCCACTGGAGGATCTTCCATCCTAGTCAAACATAACGTTATCCATAGCCCTGTTGCACTTACTTCTAATCTTCAGGCTGTTGCAGTGCGACTAACGTTGCACGAAGCTGCGTTTACATTATGCTCTTTCTACATATCTCCGTCTTCAACGTTTCACAAAACTGATCTTCAAGCTCTATATGTCCAACTCCCAAAGCCATGTATTATTATGGGAGATTTAAATGGGCACAACCCACTCTGGGGTAGTGCAAATACAAACGCTTAAGGTAAATTACTGGAGGAGTTTTGTTCAGATAATGATTTATGGTTCAAACACATATTTACACTCTGGTACAGGAACCTATTCTGCTCTCGACTTGTCAGTCACAAATTCAGAACTACTAAATGAATTTAAATGGTCAGTTCACGATGACCTATGTGGAAGTGACCATTTTCCTACTATACTAAAACCTGTAACTCCATCTGATGTACCTCCATCATCAAGGCGGAATTTTAAACAGGCTAACTGGGCTTTATATGAAACACTAAATGTAGTGTCCATCATCTTAAACATGGAGATCAATTACTTACCAATAAATCAGATATTGCGAATAAACTGGGTGAAACTCTCGCTAAACATTCTTCCTCTTCTAATTATGTGCCTAAATTCCAACAATATCAAAAACAAGAAGAAAAGAAAACTATTAATTTTAATTCAGAGAATGGGGAAGATTATAATGAAACTTTTCTATTCAAGAACTCCATACTGCTCTTGAGCAAGCTCACGATACTGCTACAGGTGCTGATAACATACATTATCAACTCCTGAAACACTTACCAGAATCATGTTTAGAGACGCTCTTACATATTTTTGATAATATTTGGACGTTAGGGAAATTTCCTTCCTCATGGCGTGACGCTATAATAGTACAAATACCTAAACCTGGAAGTGATCATACGGATCCGTCCAATTATCGACCGATTCCACTAACATGCTGTGTTTGCAAAACCATGGAACGCATGATAAATCTTAAAAAGGCATATGACACTACGTGGAAATATGGCATTTTAAGAGATTTACATGGCTTCGGATTGCAAGGCCGTTTGCCTCTATTTATAGCTAACTTTTTAAATGACACACAATTCCAAGTCTGCGTGGGTTCTACCCTGTCTGATCATTACAATCAGGATCAGGGTGTCCCGCAAGGCAATATTTTGTCTGTGACTCTATTTAGTATCAAGATCAACAGTTTATCCAAGGTTTTAAACGATTCAATCGGTGGATCTCTTTTTGTGGATGCTTTAATATTTCTTGTCGTGGTAAAACGATGCATACTACTGAACGGCAACTGCAGTTGTGTTTAAACAAGATAAATAAATGGTGTCTTGCAAACGGCTTTAAATTTTATAAATCCAAAACTAATTGTATACATGTCTGTCGTAAATACAAACCGCATAAAGACCCTGAACTATCTCTAAATGGCACACCCATCAAAGTTGTGAAGGAAGCCAAGTTCTTTGGTATTATTTTTGACTCGCACTTAACGTTTCTACCACATATTAAGTCCCTCCTGTTTTAAATGTAGTAATCTTGTCATTTTAATTTTGGATAAATTTGACTTCAATTGCCAGCGGCTGAAGGGATGATATATATCCATACTAGGGTCCATACAGGTAGCAAAAGTACTGTAAGTCCCCATGGTCCCTAGTTTGGTGATCTACCTTCAGTTGTTGGCGATCTATAGCCAGTTTTTATATTGTATTGTCCAATAGTGCTATTAGTTCTAATTTTCCACACTAGGTTTAGTTGTAATTGTGATATTCTAGTTGTTTTACTGTCCTTCGTCGACAGGTGTTTATAATATACATCTATTCCATTTCAATGTGACATATGTTCTCGTCACGATATGGCTGAAATATTGCCGATGTGACGTTAAATAATAACTCACTCACTCTTTTAACTTGGAAATCAGATGAAATGGTGACTTTTTCCATAGTACGATGACGCTGTTCATCGCAAGTCAACACAATACACCATTACACCATTTAAGAAAACGGCAGAAAAAGCGTTTTACATTACTGAAGGCAATATGGCCGATTTAGTCACATATGACGTCACGAGTGAAAAGGTCACGTGGTTGTCAGCGGAATAGAGATAAAGGCCGAAACTCGGAGACTGTTTTCGCGATTAAAATAAAACTAAAAGACTTTTGCATTAAAAATTGGGGTTCATGTGTCTGCAATTTTCTGGTATTTTAATTTAACTCCATAACTTACATGACTTTTATGGTGATGCATTCAGTATGCGAGTCCAGCAGCTATGGCACCAACTGCACCCAGTCGTGTTCACAACGAAACTGCAGGGACCAAACCTTTGTCTGCAACCATGTAACAGGGGTGTATGTGGGAGGCTGTAAGTCAGGATGGAGAGGAATAAACTGCATGCAGGGTAAGAAAATATACAAAACGTTTTGTTGAAAAGTATCCTATGCAGAGTATATGGGCATAACAAAAACAGGTTGGTTTGTCATTCTGTGGAGGACAGTGGAGTAGCCTAGTGGTTAAAGCGTTTGTACACCACACCGAACGCCTGGTTCGATTCCCCACATGGCTACAATGTGTAAAGCGCATTTCTGTGTTCCCGGTCGTGATATTGCTGGAATATTGCTAAAACAATTGCCTAAAACCCAACTCCCTCAATATCGCCGGTGAACAGGCTGAACAAAAAAATTTGAAGAACAAAATCTTTAAAGAGGAGAACGGTGTGAGAATTCTTTTTCTGGTGTGAAAGATCCATTTTTGCGTTACAAGCGTGTGTTTTGTATGCAATGCTCTCGAATTCATATCAAACTAAATTCAATATTATTTTCCTTCAGTGTGCGACTTTGGCAGCTATGGATCGGACTGTTCTGAGACATGTTCAAGTAGAAAGTGCCAGTGCGACAACTCTAACTGTGACCACGTGACAGGGGAGTGTGTTGAGGGCTGTAAGACAGGGTGGGATGCCACAGACTGTACACAGGGTAAGAGACCATACTCTAAAAATCTGGAAAAGAAGTTAAAACTGTTATGAAATTTACTGCATGAAATGACCATTTTTACATTGATTATATTAATGACAAAACATACATTTGGTTAACGAAATAAACACTCATGTGACGAGTATGTCTAGACGGAGGACGATCGCCGAGTGTTGTGTGAACCTGGATTAAACACGCACCTGACGTTTATGAACTTCACCATGCCCCGAAAAGGGAAGATAGCTGGTGGTGTTGTCGTTGTTTTTATGCACATCAATCTGTTTCTTCTGTTGGTGGCTGATAAAATTAATCTTTATATTGTTTCCGATATCGTTTTTTTTTACGTGTAACTTTCAGAACTAAAGACCCGCGTCCTTCCCCTCATACACAGCATCAGCCTTGTCATTGGTGTGGTTGTGGGAGTTGTCCTGACACTGCTGCTGGCGGGTGGGGTACTTCTATACCTGCTCAGGACAGGAAGGTGAGTGTGAACAATATATATTGCAAGTGATGTAGTCACGTTCGACAGACTAACATTTGTTTCCATAAACCGACTTTTTGAAACCAATCCCATTAACAGACAAGTGTGTATTACGTTGCTGACCACAGAGTGGGATGGACTTGCATGGCGCTTATGTCAATGATTTCTTAGTGTCACCTGAAGCGTCTGGCTCTGTTTGAATAAGCAATCAGTGGAGGTAGTATTGTTGAGATGCTGGTTAATAATACTTGAGCACAGTGCAGAACGTAGTTGGTTTTACACACGCACAAAATCCATTGTGAGGAATTGAGGAGCGAAATAGCACAGCAGACCTAACCAGGACATTGTGCTGCAGGTTGATGTGGATGCCAATCCCACTAATAGACAAGTGGTTCTTAAATTGCTGATAATGGAATGGGATGAATAGCGCTTATGTCAATGATTTCGTACTGTCATCTGAAGCTTTTGGTTATGTTTAAATAAGCAATCTGTGAAGCTAGTATTGTTGACATACTGATTGATAGTAATTGAGACCAAAAGAATACAATAAAACTGTGGGGTTACAGTCGTATTAGTGAGTGTGTGATTGAGTTTAGTTTTACGCCGCACTCAGCAATATCCCAGCTATATGGCGGCGGTCTGTAAATAATCGAGTCTGGACCAGACAATCCAGTGATCAACAGCATGAGAATCGATCTGCGCAATTGGGAACCGATGACATGTGTCAACCAAGTCAGCGAAACTGACCACCCGATCCCGTTAGTCGCCTTTTACGACAAGCATAGTCGCCTTTTTATGGCAAGCACATGGGTTGCTGAAGACCTATTCTACCCCGGATCTTCACGGGTCACAGTCGTACTAAATCCAATGTGCAAACTTTGACTAAATCAACCAAACGGTTTTAACGTCAATTCTGTAGACATGTTTTGAAGCCATTCCTCAAATAACTCCAACTGAGGAACGAAATAACACAGCAGACTTACACGTACATTGTGTTGCAGGTTGACGTGGATGCCTGGATCTGTGAAGGAAGGAGAAAGACAAGATAAAGCTGACACCAACATGTCACAGCCAGCTGACAACTACACGTCTATGTCCGAACTGTCCGACAGACGCGACATGGACGACAACGACTACGCTGGACTGGACACAGACACAAGAGCTGACAACAAACTCTATGACGTCATCCAGAATTAAGTCGTGGAAACAAATGAAACAACCTACCGCTGAACATACCAAGTAGAATAAAACGTCAATGACAGGCAACAGCCAGTCTCGATTATCAGTGAAAACAGTTCTTTGTGCTCACAGTGGCGAAACATAGATAAATTCCTATCGGAATTTGCATTAATCATGCCTTTCACGAATGTCAGGACATGTTGTTAGTCACTTAAGACTTGGCATTGGTACACAGGCAAAACTGATACCGCTGATTATTATATACTACAGAAACACACATGAACATTTACTTCTTGGGATGGGCAGTTTCCAGTTAGTACAAGGGTATACATATACACTCATGTACTCTCTAGGAACAAAACCAAAACCTTAATAAAATAGTACACCCCTTGGAAGTTGTAGCAAAAGACACTCTTTATATATACAAACCTCTGTTTTACACACCAGAACGCAAAAACTACTTTGTGCTGTTATCTCCAAACGGTACAAGACTTGTCTAATTGGCCGTGGAACTGACCCAGCTCTGTCTGCATATTTACACTGAGATGCATACAGGACATACAGAGCTCTCTTCACTTTAAATGCAGCTTTCTTGAAACAACATTCTCGGGTTACAAACGGCTGTTATGTACAAAGAAATTTGCTGATCGTAAACGTAACGTTCAATCTGACATTTTGATGGAGGCAGTGGTTATAATTATCTGATTGAATCATTGAAACAAGATATTTTTCATTTAAATGTAAAAAAGAGTTTTTTTCATTTTTTGTATTGTGTTACGATAGTGATATTTCTTTTATGTATTAACTAGATATTTATACTTCATTCCATCATGTTTCTATTAGTTTTCTTCTTGACACATGTACTATTACAGAAATCTCCACCAAGCAGGCATTACTCTAGATTCAGGTCAATGCTCCATAGTCTCATCCATGTATAACTGCCACAATGAAAACAGATAAAAATATAATTACATTATGAGCTAAGAGGAGGCATGCTTGAAGTGTCAGGCCACCAGCGTCTTGCTGATATCTTGTTAGACCTTTTCCTTATTTATATCCAGTTTGAGAACATATAAATCTACACTTCTCCTATAAAAACATAATAAATACAAACTAAAGACTTGGTGATTGTGACTTTTATAATTATTCATTTAGAAAGGGTGACAACAAGGATTGAGGTCGTCGATGTGGCAACCAACGTGAAAGTTCATACATTGTCTTTATTGAATGACCATATATTAGGCTGTCACGAATTGATGCTGTTTTACCATTGTCCAGTTTGTGAAGACACCTGTGATGCTAGTATTGACTAAATTGTTACGTCTTGATTCCCAAGTCACAACTAAAACGTTAGCCTGGAATCAGTCAGTAAAATAACAAGGTGTGAACAAACAACAATAAATGTGGTGCAATTACCAACTCTCTAGAAAGGTATCATGTTGTAGTACACTATTATGGTGTAGTACACATTCAGAGATAGTAAGACTAAGAGCAGTGATTATAGCAATTCAGACATTGATGGTTGTATTCACCTCTTAGCGACAGTAAACCAACTTTCAACAATGGCAGGACGGGGTACGATCATCACTCACACTGCTGATGCTGGTCTTCTTGTGACTTTGAGATATAATGTGAGATGAGATACAATAACTCACTCCACTTATATACGCTAGAAAACTCCACCATGGTTTCGAAGGCAGATGATTCAGGAATAGGCTTTTCAGATCATTCTACTTTGTTCTTAGTGTCACTGGAGTTGCAAGTAAGGTTGTAGCACATCTCAATATAGTACACCGCTGCCTCACACTGACACTACAGATTCAATGTATGACAGGTGAAACAGGTGTACAACGTTGAATCGGAGAAAGAAAGTTTGAACGTAGTAAGAACTTTCTTGACTAACTAAAGTACAAAAACAACCAGGCATAGTCAATAATCCCGTACTCATGACACATGTTTACACAAATGGAAACCATGTCTGCAGTCAAAGGTGACTTCCACCAACCAACACGTAATAAAGCATCAGTGATAATGTTGTCTTTGATATGTTTGATATCTAAATCCAATTCCTGCAAAGACAGGCTCCAACATAAGTCGTTGTTTTTGTTCATCTTTGCAGGTAGATACTAGATATACAGATGGCAATGTTCATTTTGTCAGTTAGTTTACAAACATCATGCTAGGGTATCCAGCACACATCGGCTTCAGTGAGCGAACCTGTACCTGGTGAGATGGTATACTCTAACCTGTGTTTACCTACAGACGGTATTAACGTGTTATTAACAAGGTTATCATGGAGTGAAAGAGAGACGGCCAGTGAGTGAATGTACTCTCTAATAGTCCGATAGTATCGCTTGTTTGTGTACAATCCAGATTCACACGGCGTATCAGGGGTTAGCAGGCAGAGTAGCGAGTCACCTCGTCAGGATATGATCGCACACAATGAGCCAGGCCACATAGTGTAACCACTAGAACCCCACTAATCCATACAGTGTAACCACTAGAAGCCCGCTAGTCCACACAGTGTCACCACTAGAACCTCGCTAGTCCACACAGTGTAACCACTAGAACCCCGCTAGTCCACACAGTGTAACCACTAGAACCCCACTAGTCCACACAGTGTAACCACTAGAACCCCGCTAGTCCACACAGTGTAACCACTAGAACCCCCCTAGTCAACACACAGTGTAACCACTAGAACCCCGCTAGTCCACACAGTGTAACCACTAGAACCCCGTTAGTCCACACGCTAATCCCACGGGTGTAAACCACTAGAACCCCGCTAGTCCACACAGTGTAACCACTAGAACCCCACTAGTCCACACAGTGTAACCACTAGAACCCCGCTAGTCAACACAGTGTAACCACTAGAACCCGCTAGTCCACGCACAGTGTTACCACTAGAACCCCGCTAGTCCACACGGTGTAACCACTAGAACCCCCTCCACACAGTAACCCCGCTAGTCCACACAGGTGCCAACCACACAAATTACCACTAGAACCCCAGTGTTGGTCCACACAGTGTAACCACTAGTCCCACACAGTGGAACCCCGCTAGTCCACACAGTGTAACCACGCTAGTCCACACAGTGTAACCACTAGAACCCCGCTAGTCCACACAGTGTAACCACTAGAACCCCGCTAGTCCACACAGTGTAACCACTAGAACCCCGCTAGTCCACACAGTGTAACCACTAGAACCCCGCTAGTCCACTAGAACCCCTAGAACCCCGCTAGTCCACACAGTGTAACCACTAGAACCCCTCTAGTCCACACAGTGTAACCACTAGAACCCCACTAGTCCACATAGTGAAACCATTAGAACCCCGCTAGTCCACACAGTGTAACCACTAGAACCCCGTTAGTCCGCTGTCAGGACAAACACTGGATAGATCAACATGAAGAAATGTTCTCCTCAAGGCAGCTGTAACATTGCGAGCTACGCTCTGTGTCTATGTTGTCCTATGTCGTTGTCAAACCTGGGTCTTTAGGCTCACAAGACAACGCCACTTCCACTAGGCTACCAAACAGTCATGCACTGACTTCTTTGAGTGGCATTTTAGAAGTTGGAAGATATATATGGATGACAACTTTTTTAATTATGGAGCACGATGTTTCGATACAGGTTCTTGTATCGTTTTCAAGTATGAATGGTACAGGGAGAGAACAGGTGATATATATACAACAGAAGACTAATTACAAGTTGGAGGCGAAATATGATGATACCGAATAAAGGAATAACAGGGGATAACAGTGGATAAAATAGTCATGTACTGGACAAGGTCACAGCACTGGACGTCAAGCCACATATGAGTTGATTAAAATATCTTCTCTTCTACACATTTGTAACTTGAGAATTGTCGTGTTAAATAGTTGTGTACTAAATGTGTGCCGAACAGTCTGTCTTTTTTATCTTTATGCTAAGCGCCAGGCTTTGAAACAAGCTTATAATCTTGCGTGCATCTTTTGAAATGACGAATTTGGGATTAAACAGCCGGTCTTTTGCAGTCAGGCAGACGCTGTATCAGCTAGGCCACTGAAGCCATCTGTTTGCATTTGTAGATGAAGTTAAACAGATCAGGTATCAATCCTGACGGGAGAACACCAGCAACTGACAGCCGAGATTCTCTTTCATAATGCTATCCAGCCATCTCCATAAGATAGAGCAACAGAGGGAGAAATGTCCACGCCGACTTGTTACATAGCTCATGTATTGCGAAGTACTGTGTATGATGTCCTGGTCAGTCGAACGATTTGTGAATGATCCGTACATTGATCAATAAATAATATTATCTCATTCTTTGTCAGCATTTGAATGAAACAGTAAACATCCCGTATAAATACTCTTCTTTCCGTGAACATGTTCAGGTGTCGACATGGCGGGCCACAGACTCGGAGTCCTGCTGTGGATCTGTGTCTGTGTGCTGGACGGTGTAGCAGGTAGGTGCTGGCGACTCTACAAGGAATGGTTCTTGAAAGTTAAACATGTAACGTGAAAAATAAGGTGGCTGGCTCATTGTCATATGGATAATCGGTCGTCTCAATCAGTCCTCAACGCCGATCATTTTCCGAATGTCAGTTATTCTTGTTAGACAATTATACAATAGATTCATCAGACTTTCTCACTTTTTATCTGGCAAAATGATTATGTACATGCTTGAGTGAGTGAGTTTTGGATTTATGCCGCTTTTAGCAATATTCCAGCAATATCACGGCGGGGAACACCAGAAATGGGCTTCACACATTGTACCCATGTGGGGAATCGAGCCCGGGTCTTCGGCGTGACGAGCGAACGCTTTAACCACTAGGCTACCCCACCGCCCCTCCTGCTTGAAATATATCTTGTAACAATATCAATATTAGTGGTTCCTTAAATATACCCTTGAAATCTTAGTATTTGAAAAGAAATTGAATTATTACAATGTTTGATAGGGCTGCACATATAGAAGAATGGTATTTTAAGTCGGTAGATTAAATTAGGGACTTAGATTGTTAGTGGCTGTATCCTCGAAGGGTGTTAAAGTATTGCAAAATTATTGTCCTCCTGAGACGTTACGTAAATCCCAAAACCTTCAAAGTAATGTAGGTCTACCAATCTTTTTTAATCGCAGAATATGTGTTGCTTTAAGTAATGGTTAAAACTTGCCAGCACCTGAAGGGATCGTGTAAATCTCACTAGCGTCCATGCAGCAAACGTCCTTATCGTCACTAGTATGGTTACCTACTTTTAGTTGATGGTGATACATAGTCCGTATTATATAGTGTATTGCCTGATTGAAATCCATTTTAGAGATGGATGCTAGTTTTAATTCTTGTTTCTGTGATATTCTAATTGGTTTAACTGTCGACATGTTTTTATAATTTAACTGCATCTATCATGAATTTATAAGTAATTTTAGGCATGATATGGCTGAAATTCCTCCGATGTGACTGTAAACTTTACCTCACTCACTAAGTATACCCTTGTTTCATGTGTAGTTTTTCATTCAACCATGACTTTTGAGAGTGCGTCATCATAGTTCTCCGAATAACAAATACCAGGATGGAAATTGGGGATGACTTCACATGATGTGCATGCATCAGTCCGATCTCAAAACATCAACAGTAGAACAGAAATCTACCACAATGTATTTTTGTAATATTTACACAGACTGATGTATGGCGGTCGTAGAGTTGTGTGCTCTGTTCACATTTTTTCAAATCGTATCACCGATATGATAAGTCAGTGAGCGGAAGGTTTTATAATACAAGCTCTTTGTTCGTGTTTTTCACTTGCAGTGTGACTTGTCGTCTGTTAGCGTAGTGTAGGAAAATATTTCATAGTGATAAGAGCCACAACATCCCGGTGGAAGTGGCCACAATGTATTGAATATATTCAGGAGGAAAATGACTGCGTGTTCATTGTACAGCTATCATTCAGCCTTTTATCATAGCCTATACACCTCGTTGATTCATCATTTCACATGTTCCGTGTTGACTGAATGGCACTGAGGACGATGCTATCCGCACGCCTTTAAACAGTTACATCTGTATAGACTATTGCCAGCACAATTGCTGTATGGATGCTCAATGCTTGCAACAGGCTTGT